TATTAAAGAGTAGATACGGCTCGGCTGCTATTGTACCCTTGGCATAATTTATATTTCTTCTGTAAACAACACAGGCTGATTAAGACCTTTCATCTTTCCAATTTAATTAGGGCTTGTTTCCACATGTGTCGCCTCATAATACCCCCGCAACAAACTTTAAATCAAATTTTGAACAGCGATGGAAGCAGTTTTGGATGTGCTCATGAGCACGCCCATATATGTACCAAAATCCTGTAATTTGGCACCAGGCCTTAAAATATATTTTACAGGGCCGTCTGACAAAATGTCCGATAACTTTGAGTTTGGGTTGGACATATGTCCGATCACTTCAGTTCAATTTGGGTCGGAAATAAGTCTGAATGACGCAAATTAATACCAGCATAATGTATTCATTCTTAACTAAATGTTGTGAAGATATTAAATAATTTGTGTCATTCATACTTATTTCCAAGCCAAAATTAACTTGCTTGCCAATGATAGCAGTACGACTTCGATAACTTAAGCTCGTGTTCCACCTCGCCATTTCACTCGTCGCCCCGCAACATCAGTTTCGGTTCATTTTTATACAAACTCTGGTTCTGGACTAGGGTACATTTTGATTTACGTGCGTGGAGAAAGCGTCAGACAAAGCTACAGTTCGGTCGGACACCAATACACTCGGGTCGGACAAACAATATACCTCAGTTTCACTTAGGTCGGACAGAATGTCCGGTGGTTTCCTCTCTACGTCGGACAATTTGATGAATGGGTCGGAAAATGTCCGTGACCGACCGATATTTTAAGGCCTGAGTAATTTGCTCATGAGCATGATTATGAGGATACTGGAAGATTTTCGTGTATACAGGTATGCATATCGTATTACATATACGACTATGAAGTAATTTGCTAAAATTGCTTGTTTTTCAACTTAATTTTCTCGTATATACATGTTGTGTCAACAAAATGTCATTAGGTCAAAAGATGTGCTTTTCTTTCTAGTTTTTGCTTATTGACTGAAAACTCGCCTAAAAATGAATTTTGGCAAATTTCATGCGCAAGTGTAATTTGTACGAAAAAGGCGACTCAGAAAATGGGCATCAGAATAAACATTTTGTTCTGTATTTTGCTATAATAGTTTGAATATTATTTTCAAAACCAAACAAGATAGAAAAGAATTGTAAAGGGTCTTGGTAATTATATCGCTTAAAAGTTCCTTGAAATGAGACAAACTTAATTCTTATTGCCACTTCCCTTTAAGTGCAGTGGTGCACACCATGCGCGCGACCTTCAACAAGTTCAGGTTTTCACCAACTTTTGGTAATCATCAGCTTCGCGTTTCCTTAGATCCAGCTCCTCGTAGTCTGGTAAGTTTCTTCCCATTTTGATGTCTTCGTACGACTCTCTTCTTTCGTGAGCTGGTATAACATAATCCGAGTCTCGCTTTACAAGTTTCTGGTAAGTGCCATCATCCGTTTTATTTCTGCCTTGGCGTCTATTCTTATCAAGCTCAGTATAACCTGGATTTTCTGGCGATTTTTTGGGCTTTTTATATATTTTATTTTGGCCTGGTGTTTCATACCCAGAAGTCTTGCGTGCACTTGACGGCCCTCCAACCTCTTCGTAATCTGATGTTCTGCCTTTAAAAACAGAAGAAGATATGAGATAAAGCCGCGATCAAAGGAGAGCGAAAATTTGCATGAGAGTTGACAAGCGAGAGTTTGCATGAGAGTTGACAAGCAAAATTTTGCATGAGCCTGAGAGCAGTTTTCTTAACTCTCATGTCTCGGTCAAACGGGAACAAGAGTTGCATGAGAGTTGATGGACTTGACTGGATATTAACGGTCAAACGAGCAAAAATTCTGATAAAAAATTTGAACCAAAGTCGATGAGACTATAGTTGATGCGAGTCTATGAGAGCTGGCTGTCAAAGCGAGCGAGAGTTCATTGAACTGGTTCAAATTTTGATGAGAGTTTTCGCTACTCGCGCAGTAATATTCAGCCAACCCTCGTCAATTCTCGTGCAAATCTTGTTCTCGTTTGACCGGGGCAAAATCTCGCTTCTCAACTTTCAACAACTGTCATGCAATAAGTGGCACAAAAGAAAGTCGAGAAAAGGCACAAAAGTATAAGTTGCAAGAAGACGTTTGTATACCGGACAGCTCTATCAGTTCTAAGTTGAATACTTGAATGGTTCAGCATGAGCTCTACCTTTGAATTTACTATATGAGTAAATTGTTAAACACGTCCGAATTTATCATTATGATAAATTCCCGGCATCTACCCCAAACACTAACTCCTAACCCCTTTTTAAACTTTTTTAAACTTTTTTGGGGGATCTTTTTCGAAATCCTCCCACTCCCTCGCGACCAGCCTCCCTTTTAGTGTCATTATATTTGTAACAAAAACTCTTGTCTAATGCTTGTTGTTTTATGATTTATACTCAGGGACGCCGGAACTGGGGGGCAGGAGGGGCAACCGCCCCCGTTGCCCTTTACCAGGAGGGGCAAAGGTGCCCTTTCAATTTAAAGGATTGCCTTGGCGAAATAGCGAATTGTCAGAAATGTTAGTGCAATTCTTTTACGAATTTGCTTCAGAAAACGCAAGAAATGCAGTCATCGAGCTTCAAGAATAGCACAATCGCCTGGCGGAGAACCCCCTCACACCCCTATCATCCAATAAATACAAAACATGATTAAGCGAAGTTCAATTCTCGATGTTTTGCAAACATCTCTTAGTATATATCAATTCAAAAGTGCCCTTTCACGAAAATCTGCTCCCCTTGCCTGCACATCGTTCCGGCGTGCCTGTTTATACTATTGATAATTTCAAAATGTGCCGCGAATTTATCATATTAATTGATAAATTCGGACGTGTTTAACAATTTACTCATATACTGTAGTAGGAGCTCATGCTGACTTCTACAGTGAAAGAATTATTTCAGTTTAATCAAGATATATTATACATTTCTTCTCAGAATGACCAAAGTATAACACATAGCAGGTTATAGTGAAATTTTGAACATATTACCTTCAGGTGATATAGCTTCAGACTCATTTGCTTTTGTTGCGACGTTAAACTTTCGATCAACAGTTTCGTAACCTGGTTCCTGTTTTAATGAAAATGATGACTTTTAACGTCGATTACACGTGTTGCGTTTGTTCAATTCATCCAAGCTTAAAAACTAAGGCCTAAGCCTAAGAATAGTGTTCGGTGGCTCTATTAGTTTTTAACTGCTCTCCGAGAGGTTCAGAGAAGCCCAGCACTTATTTGTCTAATGACACAACAGGAGGAAACCTAAATTAAACTAACTTTATTTATACTGGAAGGCTCTATCAGTTCTAAACTGTTCTTCCTATAGAGGTCCAGTAAGGATAATCTCTTATTGATCCAGTGTTACTACAGGAGGAAACCTAAACTAAACTAACTTTATTTATACTGGAAGGCTC